ATGCAAACATTTACAAATGAAATAACCTTTTCCGTCAATAAATCGCGCTCTTCGGGGTTTTTTATTTATCATTTTGTAGTACACAGTCGGTTATCATGTCATGGTATATGTTATTGTTGTACATGTATCCTAGAATGATCAGTTGATGACCTAAATATTCCAAAAACCTATTTATAGATATATCTTTTTATCACTCCTATCGGTAAATGCCGGTCTCTCCCGGTCTATTTTGACCAGGATTTACTAGTGACCGGCGAATAGTACCACACGTTTATTGTCCGGTCTCTCCCGATTTTGGAGTAGATGTTTGATATCGTTACAATTGGAAAAAAAACAACAATAGCATGTTTCATTTTATCTATATGAGATAAAAACAATAAATATGTACACGGATTTATATGTAATATAAATCCGTGATATGTACAATAATTGAGAAAAAGGTACATTTTTTATGGTATTAAAATGACATTATCAACTTTGAAACATTTTATTTAATTATTCAATTTGTTATCCGTGTTTAGTAAAGATGCCGAGGAATTATTCAAAGTTACAAATTAGATTTTATGAATTATTCAATTGATCGATAATTTAAAAAATGATAAAGAAAAATACAATGTACATGTACATGGTTTAAGAATAAACAATATTATATATTGAAAGATAAACCATAATTTACTGACTTTTTCTAGTTAAGCTTTTACTTATAATCGTCGGTCAATATGACAATTGAATTCTTAAAATTTATTTTACAATTTTAATAAAAAAGAGTAGTAAAAACTCAGTATTAAAATAGCACATAAAACACAAAAAAGAATAAAAGAAAACAATATTCATAAAATTTGTATTTTTTTTTAAATTAAAATTAATAGATATTACAATTATTGTATAATAAACAATTATGCTCAACATGATCAACATGGTAATATAACCAGTGTCATATTTTTACTAACTTAAAGTGTGAACAGATACCTTAAGGGGGTCTTCGCTAATAGCGATAACATGTACATAATAAGGGACACATGTGTGGTACGTGTTGATCATGCGTTACACATATGGATTATAAATGATTGCATACATGTATATCCGTTGCTATTAATAACCACGATCATAAAGAAATAACAAGTAATATTCTAATCTCTAGCATGCCAATCAAAGTTCATAATGAACAATGTCTTTCGTCCGCTCATTCATAAGTGGTATACATTTCTGGTAGTTTATAAGAATATCTTGTCATCATATGTGTACTAGTTCATCTTCACTTGCTGCATTTCTTGCTTGGACGCCCTTTGATGCTTTGCATCAATGCTTTTCTTGTGAATTGCTTGAAACATGATATTTACTTACTCTATGAAATTGTGGCATTAGAATTCACTATATAGTAACTTGTTGCTATTTTTTTTCGACTACAAAAACAAAAAGCTGGAAAAGAGACAGTTTCAGAGATGGTATACTACACAAAAATCATCCATTATTTCAACAATTATTTTTCAAACATTTAAAAAAAATTGTACAGTTTAAACAAGAGGTGTATGTTATCGGGGATGAAATAACACCGGATTGTGTTTAACAGTTTGTTGGCACCGAATTGAAAATTTTCCAGAAACGATGCATTACATTTTGTTAGTAGAAAATAGGCGCGTGCATGGTTCGTATCATTCAATCTTAGAACTTTTATTCTGCGTTGGAGAATTTTGTACAACAGCCAGGTGAAATAACATTAAGGCTTCATGCAACAAGTGGAAATTGTTTTCTTATTTAAAAATTTTATAGATAAACTTATCGATTTTAAATGATATTTGTCCAGGATTAAAAATCTTTTTAGAATGGTAAGATTTTAGTACGATATTAGTCTAAAATATGCACGTGTTATTGCTCTATTGTGAAACAAGTTGTAACAATTTTATATGATGTAATTTCGAGTCGGTGTCCTGGTACTGAAGTATCATCATTAGTCATGACGTATCATATTTAGAAAAAATAGGTTTTTCGAGCACCGGTGTAAACAGTAGATTACCCTGTCTGATTTACAAGAATGAATGACGATGCAATGGTAGAAGATTTTCTTTTAACAATAGCAGTTTTAAGTTCTTTCACCATGTTTTTGTTTTGTTTTATTTTTTTGTTACTGCTGTTGTTGTTTGTCTGAATGGAATGCTGAATTCTGAACTTGGACAGTTTGTTAATCTATGATAAATTATGTTTTCTTCCAGTGCATATAAATCGTGCTCATTATTTAAATGTTTCAAAACGATGGATCATCGCATCATGTGATCCATTATGCAAGTATAGTAAAAAATCATGCAAATTCTGTACTCATGATATACCGTGTTTGATCATTTTAGACAACTTTGTTATATAAAAGGAATATTGTAGACGAATTGAATTATCATGATGAATATAAATAGTTGTTGAAAGCATGTTTGAATAAGATAAAAGCATGATTTTTTTGTATTTCAAACAACTTGAAGATTAAAGGTTTAAAGTGCTCTTAAATGTGCACGTTGACAGACAATTTTATCAGTATTATCACTTATAAAAAATAAATTTGTTCAAAAATAACTCGCCGAATTGTAAGGAAAAAGCAAACAATCTACATTGTTTATGTAAACAATTGGTTGCCACAATCTTTCGATGTTGAACATGTCACAAAATGATATGGAATGCATGTTTATTAAAGACCGACCACATACATTATGGGAGAACATACATGTGTACAACATATATACCCATATAACATATGATTGTTTTGGTCGATTGACTCGCGTCCGATAGGTTGATATTTCTATTTCGTTTTTTATTGATACTAAATTTGTTTTATGAAGTACCTACAGTACTGCTAAAAAGTATTTAATCTAGGCATACAAGTATTCATTATATACTTATAAATTAAATAAAGACAGAAAATGCGTATTTATATTTTCCGTATTTTCACTGCATTTTATACTCACTGGAGTGAAATATATTTTCCGTATTTTCAATAATGTCTTGTCATATAGTTGTCTTATAAATATAGACAAAACACAGAATTAAAGGAAGTTTTGAAATCATAATGGCAAAAAGTGAAAAAGGTATATTATGATAAACAGAGAAATCAAGCTTTTTATCTATAAATACGGGATTTGTTTTCGTCTCGTTGTATGAAAATGATTATATTCCACTCGTAACTAACCCCCACGTCATGAAATATTTCTTTTTATACCACTCTATGTAAAATAAAATCCTGTATTTATAGAAAAGAAAAAAACTTGAAAGAAATCCTGCAGTATTTTAAACTAGACATTTGTAAAGTTAATCAGACAAGTACAATCCAAGGAAAAGCATGCGTTACATGCAGTTGGTCTTTAAAGTTAAGTACTGAAGTTTTCCTGGAGAAATTTTAGATACCCGTTATCACGCCTCTTATATGAAAAAAGGAAGTTTAGTTGATCCCCTCAAGTTGCATTTCACCATAATCAATTCGGTTATCTATACCGTACGCATTTGTTTTGTGACAAACCATTCGAAACTGCCTCGGCTATTATCTATAATAACCTCGGAAACAATACGGATTGAAAGTAGTTCTACCACGTGGTTTCAGAGGTAAACAGAAACAGAGATAATGTAAAACGAATGTTTAACGAATGTATATATTTGACATCTAATGTCTGTTCCGATACTCTTTTGCTTGAAAATATGTCTGACAACTATTCGTAATTTAAATATGCCCACAGATGTTCAATTTTAAACAATCAACAGGTTGGGTTTTTGTACTTTCGGTTTCTACAACCATAATAATAAATATATAAATAATGTATTGTTTGCTTTTGTACCTATGAATTCACTTATTTTAGGTGCACTTTTACTACATTTTTTGGAAATAAACTTGTCAACAACTCCTGGCATAAAATTACTATTTGTTTACACGTATAGTTTCTTAGCGTAGGTTAGACCTAAATACCGCATCCGTTCTGTGTATTTATACTATTGTGCTCGAGGTCCTTATCCGAAGACTGACGGAAAGGGCAGAGTAGATGCGATTGGTGACAAACTGTAAAACAGAACTTAGACATGAAAACACATTTTTAACATTTCGACAGAGCAGACTTAGTGGTCCAGTGTTAATTATAATTGACTACAAATTCAAAGGTCGCGAGCTCGATATCTCCATCTCCATGCTGTAGAAATTTAACAAGGTGCGTTTAATGAAAATTGAGCCGCGTCAAATCAAAACCAACATTATGAGTTTGCGACCAGCATGGATCCAGACCAGCATGGGCATCCGCGCAGTCTGATCAGGATGCGCAGGCTGGTCTGGATCCATGCTGGGCGCAAACCCACTATGTTGGTTTTGTCATGACGTGGCTCAAATAATTGTTTGTTTGGGAACGGATTTTCTTCTAGTTCCGTATCACTGCACTCAAAAATATACAAATAAAATAAATGAACAAATTATAAATAAATTATTTAAATAAACTGATTGAAATTAAGATTATAAAAACGGTCCTCTAGAGTTATTCTACAGTAAGGTTTGCCTGTTGGCGACTTCAGATAGGGGTATATCAGGTACAGACTGACGTCAAACATCGATATCGATTTTTTTATTAAAAAAGAACAACAATAAAAAACGTATTATCTTAAATAGTGTTTCACATAGTGGGACAGCAGGTCTTTTACTCTCAAATAGTTTATTTTGAAATAACAAACAGAATCAATGTGAACATAAGAATTGATCAGATAACATGCAGTTTTCTGAAACAAGTTGAACAGTAGCTTAATAAAATACATGTGGAATAAAAATATTTCCGCCCGTATTTTTGTTAAATAAATAAGTTTATGGGATTTGAAATGTAGCTGTGACATTCGAAAATGTTTAAACTACTAGTATATATATAAATGTATAAGCTACTCACTGCAGCAATTGTCTGACAAATAACAATACACAGCGATTAACGCTGATTTACTTTAAAGTACAAACTTTGACAGGCATGTCCAAAACGATTGGGTCACGTTACAATGTGAATGAGTATACATCATTTCTAAATATGTCTGCATTTTTTTAACGTGCAAAGTCTGCCGTAGGCAACATTCGCTTGTCAACCGTTGCTTTTCGGCGTTGTTAATTAGGCGGGAAACCAGCGTTACAAGCGTCCGTAATTGTTTCCGATGTCGTCTTAAAACTAGGTATGGAATAAACCAAAAACGTTTCTCCTCGACGTTATCATTTGTTTAATAAGGTCATTGGATTATAGTGATGTATGGCAGGTTAGTGTTTTATTTTGAACACTTATACACTTCCTGTATGTAAAAATGTCTAAGAGCATGTGTTTTTCTTTATTTTAACAAGTTACAACAATAGATGGACAATCATTCACAAAATGGATACGTTTATTTGTATATCCATTATGTAATTACTATGTACTTTACTTTGGAGTGTATAAATAATGACTTAAGTAGATCTGTAAAGTTTTATGATATATGAAGGAAAATTAAAGTAAGTGTTACATTGTCTTAATGACTCTGAATGACGGAAGTTAAAAAAGATCTGACATTTCTCCCATGACGTAACACTTATCTGTCTATAAGTTTTTTTAATAAGATAAGATTATGTATGGATTTTCTTAAAGTATTAGTCATATTTGCAGAGGTGATTACAACTGATTTGATAATACGTTATCGCTAACAATCCATTTTTTTCCTTGTAAGAATAAATCTTTATTTCCGACTACCTTGAAATAACGACCTTATGAGATATGTGGTCTGTACTTAACACGATTTACATGATGACATGTCGCTGTTTTAGATCTTATTACATAATATATAACTCGGGCCGCTTTCCTACCATGTTCTTTAAAATATACTTATCATATAATGGCAACTCATATGTATCCATTTCTGCCTTCATACGTTAAATAATCTATACATTTCTTTTATTAACACTACTGCAGTACCTAAATTTTGTTTCATATAAACACGTATCTTACTGTTTTCATAGAAGGCTAACCATTTCATCATTCATGTTAACCCTTGCCATTATAGAGCCAGTATGCCCATCTGTTCTGTTTCACCAGGCTCTATATAAGGTTGGAATTTCAGTATTTTGATATTGACTTTAAATGGACTGCTCAAACTTTAAAGCCTGACAACTTTGTCGCATAAATTAAGATTAATTTAGATTAAATATGCAAAAGTTTATCTAGACAATCTGACATGCAGGTTAGCGGTCTAGTGATAGGGCACAGGTTCCGTTACCCAAGGGGCCGCGCGTCCGATATGCCGTAAATCACTGTTCTACAATAAGTTTGGAAAAAACTAGGATATTCTATTGTAATGATAAAACTATTATATCAATGTATTACTTCCGAATGATAAAGCAGCTAATTATATTCGTTGATGGTGGACGGGGACGGGAATGGGGGCATCGCATATATGAGGAGCCGATTGAAAAGCGATAGTAAATTACACTGTAAGGAAGAAAACATGGTCTGTTATGTCTGGCTGGACATACATACGATTCACGAATGACTAAGTCACGTTATTAAATAGGTTATTAAAACCAACTTAAATAGTGTGTAATTAGGTTAATGACCGCGCGTGCAGTAAATCATTTTGTTACTGACTGTCTTTCTTAATTAATAGTAAAGACATTAAAATGTTTTCCATCGAACAGTTTGAAATAAAACCATTGATTGATGATAAAACTCTACTGTTTCACTCGAAAATACGAAAATTACATAATTTAGCTACAAAATAGAAGCTAAGAAGCGCCTATTATTTTCCTTCGACAGGTCTACTTTAGTAGGGCTAGGATGCAAATAAGATAAACTTTATTTGTTCACATAATTAAATACACTTTGATTCATTCTTAAATGAATTCACTAGTAATCTTTTTTATCAAGACAAAAATAATCTTGTATGTTTTTACTTTATTTTATATAAAATTAAAGAATATATGACTAATAATCACACATATATTGCTCTTTAAACATATAATACATGTCTAATATTTCCTCATGTGAAGTATTGAATACTTTTATAAACATATAATATATTTATATGATTACATGGCCCTGTCTATTCTGGTGAAATATAAACACATCATGATATAACCTTCGTAACAACGAAGTGAAAATAGTTTAAAGACAGGGACGTAAAATGTAAATATAAAGTACATCTAAAAGTACATTATACCAAAACTATCAGGGGTCGTTATTTCAAGATGAACTTAAGGTTATTAAACCCGTTACCTGTTTGAACTAAAAGTCATCATCCTTTGCCACAAGTAAGTATAGAGCCAGGCCTGCGTGCACGTCCGTGCAGTCTGGTATGGCTCTAAAATGTTGCTAGCTCCTTATACTTCGGAAAAAAGGTTTTTAAATTCAATATATCTTGCATATTCATTTTTCAAATTCTATATACAAATTTATCATGAAAATTCAGTATGCAAATTTAATATACAAATTAAGTATGAACATTCAATATTCAAATTCAATATACAAATTTCGTATGCAAATTCAACAGGTTAAGAGTTAAACCGAGATAGTAACGTTGCAAAAGTCCCAAAAATCCTGTGTTCATGTTCTTAATATCATATTAATACACGTCACAGCTACCTTTAAGTATCAAGAGATCTGTACCCAAACGAAACATGTTTTTGTTTTGTTTTGAGACGAGCTAATGTCTTGATATAAATCGGTGGGTAGAAAATACCACTGTAACTGTTTATTTTTGTTTAAAACAGATTCCTCGTCCGTTATCATGTAGTCGTGGCATTATTCTGTCTATCAGTGCGATAAAATAGTTTCATGGTTTAGATAATTTTAAACGTTTCATGTCTTTGTTTTTTTGTGTTTTTTTTAAATACACGGGGGGATTTGTCTTTTGGTGTCTTTTCTATATTGTGTTCCAGTAAATTGATTTTAATACATATCCCCTAACTTAATATATATACCAGGCTTTAAACTTTATATGTACGGTATATTAAGGCTATGAATAACTACGCAATAGTAAGAATACACAGAATACTAACCTACGCTAAGAAACTAAACATGTAAAATGCTGTAAAATGCCGGGAGTTGTTGACTAAGGTTATTCCAATATATCCTAAATTAAGTAAATTATAGATAATAAAGCACATTATATATAATTATACTTATCATTATGGTTGTAGAAAGCGAAAGTAAGAATATATTATGTTTGATAGTTAATATGGTGGCTTATTTGGACACTTTGCGCGTTGAGTTGTCGATAGCGACAACACAACCTATATCGTTATCGCCTTTTCGTCTTGTCGTCTTTTCAAGCGACAGGGCGACATCGCAACAATGCGCCGCACGACAACGCGATGTTTTGCGTGATTCGCTAGCGACAGGACGACAAGACGACAGTGCGACAACGGCAAGACGAAAAGGCGATAATGGTATAAGTTGTGTTGTCGCTACCGACAACGCAACGCGCAAAGTGTACCAAATCAGCCACCATACATCTTACGATTTATGTCTTTTTCTTCTTGATGGTTTTCTTTTTCTTTTTTTTAGTTGTGGTTTCTACTGGTGTTGTTTTTGTATTTTATTAAGTACGACAAGATTGAATTGGTGAATGGACAAAAGGCGGCGTCGTAATGTTTTTTAAGTTAATTCAAGATATTGCATTCTCGCACATAGCAAACTGACTATTATTAGTAAAAGACATAATCCGTTATCTAGCACAAATCGTAAATGTGGCCATACAAATTAGTCTAAGCTTTCTTCAAGCAATACAATTCTTCTTTCTTGATTTCGAGAACACCTCATATATCTGAACATTGTCATGAAGTTCTGGTCCATACGAGGTCTTCGAAAATTTAAACAATTTGGCTCTTGTCGTATTTTATATTTATTGAGAACGTTTCTGGTTAATTAATCAATTAATGCTGGTCCATCGCACATGGATGTTTTTGGTCTTCATAATAAAAGGATGGCTGCGTTTTTGACGTAATTTACATGTAGGTCGTGTGCTTTTACTTATTTTGGCATTCTGTAGGAATGTTGCCGGGCACCAAAGTCGACTATTAACGGACGCCCTCACATAAAATATGTTTAGCTGTACGTATTGTATGTGTTGTACGAGTGCGGGCTTCTATTTTCGATTCTACCAGTCGCATGTTATTAAACGGCTTTATAAATAATAATTAGCATAAACATATATAAGATTGCATATTAAAATTTTCTAAATGGCTATAAAACAATTGCATATCATATGTTAATAGCTACTCGTATTATGCATATTGTATATGTATGTTGCTAAATAAAGCAAACTTTTGGCAAAAGTGTTACACTCTTATCTTATCTTCAAAATGATGTTATGAACATGTATATAACAGACTAATTTAGTTTACTTTTGTTTTTATTTTACTTATTATTAGTTTAAACTATATTTATTTATAATCTATACATTTACATAATAAGGTACACGAAATAAAATTTACGGATTGTGTAGGAAGCTTGAAACTCTCTCCGTAATCAGTATTAAACAAATTTTTAATGCATGGTAACACAATTTTAAAAATATAACTAAACTATACATATGAGCCGTGTCATGACAAAACCAGCATGGCTCCGGACCAGCATGCGCATCCGCGCAAACTGATCAGGATCCATGCTGTTCGCTATCAGTTTCTCTACTTGTAATAGAGTTGGTAAGCGAACAGCATGGATCCTGATCAGACTGCGCGGATGCGCATGCTGGTCTGGAGCCATGCTGGTCGCAAACCCATTATATGTTGGTTTTGTCGTGACGCGGCTCAAATCATATCGACTTGTGCTTGCTCTTACGTATACAAACAGTATCTTTATAATAAGTATTCATGAACTTAATTAAGATATATTGCTGTTCGATTTGAGTCATAAACACGAGTAAGAATTCAGTTTTTAAAGGGATACATGACTTACTATTGTGCTCATCAATATATTGTGATCGTGGAATTATACATCGTAGATGTTTATTTTATATAACATATGCACTACCTCTCGGCCGGAAATATTTTATCAAGGGAGTTAAATTTTGTAAAAATTGCAAACCTTCTTTACAATCCCAGTTTTAAGACGCTACTTAAATAATTAATATACGACTTATATATTATTAATACATCTCCGTAACTAATTCGACAAAATTAATAAAACTGTAATACGAGAAACGATGGAAGAATATTAATTTCATAACATGTTATTGTGTTTATTAAATTGCTTAGACGATGTGCTATATTGACAGTGAAATGGTTTATCTTATTTGAATTTGAATTTATAGAAAAGAGAATTAAAGTCTATATTCTATGCTCTTATCACAATTTAAGTGGTATCTGCCAATTCCACGTGGAACAATTTTTCTACCGGCACATGACATTTTTCCCATGCTTTCAAAAGAGAGGGGCCGATGATAAAGTCGCATAATTTTATAAAGTTATGATACATTGTTGAGTACAATACTGAATTCTATTGGACAACTACACATCTGTTAAACATATATTGGACGAAGCCGAGTGTGATGCATGTTAAGCAGCTGTGTACGAGTCCAGTATGATTAATATTGTTCTGAAAAATGTAGAATGATTTTTTTATTTTACATTTTTTTTTAAATTTTACATAACTTGTTTAGTACATTAAGTAATTGATATGAGTGTTTTACCACGAAATTGAAAGTTAGGGTAGATGTGGTACAATATGCTTTAATATTCATAAATGTTTATATGTTTTGGACTGAAAATGTAAAAGAGGCTAGGCTATACGGAGTACGATATGCATTTGATATTGATTTTGTGGACTCTGGAATTGGAAACGAGGCTAAATGGGGATTCGATAATGATTTCTATTGGAATATCGCATGGTTCAAATTGAAAGTTCGTTGGTTATATTCTATATGTTGTGAAATATATATGTATTAATAATTTGACGCACGGTTACAAAATATCATAGTTTTGTTATAATGGCACTGTTTAGTAAGACAGTTTGAAATGTTTTGCGACTGATATGAAAAAAAAATCTTATTTTTGTAAGATTGTTGTTTAATTCACTTTTTTTTGTCGACAACACTTTGATCTAAATTTCATATATACATGTACTGTGCATATATATGTAGGAAAATATACGTGAATAGCTATTTTGCATTCTTGACCAAACAGTTTACACTGAAACCGGCTAAACAGTATACCATGCAGATGTTTGCCCATCTGATAGCCGTAACAAATACCAGATAACATCTGTAACATCGCCGTTACATACCGTACATATAAACAACTCTCACATACCGTTAACATACTAACAAATCCGTATCAATTAATATCTTTGGTATTTATTCAATCTAGTAAATATCAGAATTAAACATTTATTAAATCACAAAATGTCTACGAGTTGCTCTCCTTGTTGGAAATGAATATAAAGGTAAACTAACCATAATTTGAAAACTGATACATTTTATCTATGTAACACGAACTTTATAAGCTTCTGTACGTAGAACTGGGATTGATAACGCACACTTATGATATATATTGCATTTCATAAGTTCATATTGACCAGATTCTGAACTATACTTCTCAACGTTATCTAGGGATCATGTCAGTTTGTTAGCTCGTATGAAAGTAATAAGAAAAAAATATTTTTACATATGAGCCGCGTCACGACAAAACCAACATAATGGGTTTGCGACCAGCATGGACCCAGACCAGCCTGCTCATCCGTGCAGTCTGATCAGGATCCATGCTGTTCGCTTTCGGTTACACTTCTTGTAATAGGGTTGGCGAACAGCATGGATCCTGATCAGACTGCGCGGACATGTTAATTGCATCGGAGGATAGAAAAAAATGAATATTTCACATTTATGTGACATATATTGAGCTACAGTACATTACAATTATAATTTCTCAAATAAGTAACATATGCATAAAATATTTTTTTCTCTCCAGATATGTAAATGATATAATCAATTTTATTGCTCAATGATTAATTTGTTTTGATAACTTTTTCAGATGAAACGGGGAAAAGGGAGAAAAGCTGCTGTCATCGACGACGTTTGGAACATTTTTATACTTACATTTTCCTGACAAACAGTATGGAAATTCAAAGCATATGCATTTTAATGGACGGTTGACATTGATACTAGTGTTTGAAAAGAAAATTTAAGAAATTCAAGCGAACATTTTGGTTGGCCCTCGTTCCGTTCTTCGGCAAAATTTTTCTACATCAAACATTAAATAAAATATATCAGCGATGGATATGAATCATTTTAAACAAGAAGAAGTTTATTAGATACGTGGGTGTTAACAGATTCCAAAGGAGACTTTAATTACAGATCTTTCAAGCTCAATTTCTTTCAGATTAATGATATGTCATTTGAGAAAAAACGAGTGTATATATGCGGGAATGGCAAATAATGTTCAGGATAAAACTTAATTAAATTGAAGCCTCGCTTACTCTTGGAAAGCGCCATACAATGGGAGTTTGGAAGAATGTCAGGATGCGATGTGCATTTAGATACTTATTTTGTCTTTTAGTTTTAATTTTAACTTTTATTTCAATTCATTTAGCATTAATATCGGACAAGACTGCCTATTTTTTAAAACAGAATTTTCTGTCTCAGAGAAAACATCTGGATTCAGCTTTAGATGGTGATAAATCTTACAATGCTAACAATTTAAGTAAATTATTAGGTTTAAGCGTGAAGACATTTTTAGCTTCCGGTGGCGCGCGCAGGTTACCAGTCGCTATTTCATGGCAGGAATACAGGAGTAACCCAACTGCTTTAACAGGAAATCCGCTAATTGATGATTATGGGAAGAACGATCCCGGGAAAATGGGTGAAAATGGTTCTGGAATCATTCTGGTTGGCGCGGAGAAAGAAAAGGCGACTAGGTTAATATCCAAATACAATGTCAACGTTTATGCAAGCGATAGAATTCCACTAAATAGGTTGGTTCCAGATGCAAGATTCGCTGGGTATGTTATATTGCAAACGTTATCTTATACTTGAAGTACTCACAAGTTTATAAGTTTTTGTTATCTCTAGCTCTCTTACAAAATATTCAAACAGACTGGCTTGGAACTCAAGTGTGTCATAATAGAAACCATAGCATTTTTATTTAGTTCTGTTGACGTAAAATGTTATACTGAAGTGGAATACTCCGATTCTTTAAAACCTTTAAAATATTTATAATTACAAAGAAATACATGTACACTCTAGCAAACTATTGCAAACCAAACAGATAGGTTCGTATTGCATAACTTATTCTCGACAAATGTCTTGAATTTAACACACATGAAAGGGAATTCCACTAAGATCTAAAAGATTTAAAACATAAAATTTGAATTTCATACATTTATCAGCTGAGGAACAGAATGGTTTACAAAATGTTATTCCAAAATATACTCAAAAATGAATTTAAAGTCGTACCTTGTGTTGTTCTTTTTTAAGATCGGCCCGGTTTTAGTGAAAAGGGTTGCAACTATTTCAAAATTAGAATAAATATTCTTGAAAAATGAAGTGAGCAAATGATCTGAAATTTTGCAAACAATACAAGTTATTGGTCAAGACCTACGTCAAATGGAACATTTTTCTCGAAAACAATATTGTCAGTCCCGTCATGTCAAGAAACCGCAGTGGAGTTCCTTTAAGAAAGAAAAAAAATTATCTTAAATTTCAGATGTGATGTAATTCCTTATCCGTCATCTCTACCTACTACAAGCATTATTATCCCTTTTTACGACGAATGGCCGTCAATTCTTCTGCGCACTATATATAGTATAGTCAATAGAACACCAAGGCATCTTCTACAAGAAATAATATTAGTTGACGATGGGAGCCAAATGGGTAAGATCCGAATTTTAATGAACTTGTGTTAGAGATGTTTGTTAGGGATTCATTTCATTTTTTCTAATAGAAAAAATGTTATTGTGTGTTAAAGTGTTAAAAGTGAAACAGCTTGACTCATAGATAATGGTGTGATGGTGTTATTTTATTTAGATGGTTTTCGCTTCGAATGAACTTAATGCCCACCCCCCCCCCCACTCACAAACATATCGGATTTTGGTCATCATTTTTTTAAATTATGTTAAGAAAGTCTTCTATGATAGTTTAAATCATCCGTCATTGCACTTGTAAGACGATATGAACTATACTGACGCAAATAAGAAACTGTGCGGCTGTGATTTTATAATTTGTTCAATACCGAATATATCCAACTTTTTCCTATGAATCAAAAAGCTTGTAGCGGGTTTAAACCTGCTACGTAGATGCGTTAACGTAATGTACCGGTCTTGACGAACAGTCGTTACTTTTGGCATACACCAGTAACGCTTTCCGGTTGTTTCAATTCGAATTCAGTTAGAAAAATGATGTTTCAGTGCGTATAGGTTCAGTAAATCGGTCAGTGATAAATAAAAAATGAAAAACTTATCGCTTAATGTGCACTTGTAAATAGTTCGATATAAGCGTTGAGGTAAAATATCTCGGTCAATTTAGTGCAATATTTGCAGGCAAGTGCGCCAGTACTCCGATGGAAAAAACATTCACCCAGTTATTCAGAGTGGTCACAAAAATGTAGCAAATATAATTGTGCAGTTTCTTTTGCGTCAGTATACTTCCGGAAACGCCTTTCAGATAAAAGTTTAAATTCAAAGAGAGAGAGAGCCAGAATAATGTACACGTGTTATACAATCCAAACAACTTATCTTGTACCAAACTCAAATTGCAGTATATTTGACACACCGATCCTGCTGTTCCTTGGTTCTACTGATTTTTTCCTTGATTTTAATGATTTTTTGTTCCTTGATTGTTCTTTTTTTGTTCCTTAATACAACTTTTTTCTATTATTCCTTTGTTTCTTATCCCTCTTTCTTTGATTCTATTGTTTTATTGTTCCTTGATTCCACTGAACTTTCGTTCCATGATTTCACTGAACTTTTGTTCCTTGATTCTACTGTAAAGTAAGTAATATTTTTAACAATTTGAAACATACATTTATACTTAAAATGTTCTAAAACAAATTCATTATGCAACGGTACACAGGTACACTTAATGAGAAAATGCAGACGACAATAAAACAATGCCAATGACCAGGATATTGCATTTTACAGAGATACTTGACAATATCTGTCTGCAATCTACATCTAGATTTAATATGTCCTTTCGTTATTAAAACATATAGACTTGCAAATATGCAATGCTATTGTTCATAAAGAAATATCACGTACAGACTATCCAGAGTTGGTACATTTAACCATTTAACCTGGAGAATGTATTCAATGGATTTCAACTGATTTGAATTTGGAATTATATAACATTTAAATTTTAAAAAAACCAAATATTAAATTTAGACAATAATTGACGAGCGTACGGGCCTGCTCCGTAATGGTGGCATATACTGATCCAATCACATCTTCTCGGCCCTTTCCGCCAAATTTCGGATTATCATAGATAATAGCCGAGATGTTCCAATTGATACTAGTACTCAAGCACTGCAGGTAATGGATTGAAACTGAAATTTAGTTTTAGAATTACACCACTACAGTCATTTTTTATTTCTAATTGAGCTATAATTATAGCAATATTTCAAAATACCATGTGCAGGCTTACATACATATTTCTGTTCGTAATTTTACGGAATTAAGCCACGTTCACTTTTTCTTCAGTTTTCCATATTACGTGGGGAGCTTTTTGTAAATATTATAACTGCTATCAAAGACTTCAATTCTTCATTCTTTGGAGATGGTTATAAAGAGGTTCAAATATTTCACAATGTTTGGGAATGTTGGGAGAGTTGCACTGTGCTTTTTGTGATAGTAAACTTAAATAAGTTTTCGCGAACGTAAGCAAATACTTTAGGTCAGAAACTGGCATTGAATTTTCCACTGACTTACATTATAAGAAAATGTCCCTAATCATATCTTAAAATTGAGTTTTCATGGTAAAGAGGTGATTTTTCTAGCATAATGAAATGCCTGACACATAAAAACGAATCTTGTTATGTAAGGGTAGCCAACCATGTTTTGGCAAAATGACTTCAAATAGGACAACCCCCCTGTTCATTGAAATTTTCTGCTGATCTGTACACTTTTTTTTATAAATGCAAATATCCAAGTCACAAATTATTATAGAGACTTATTAAATATTTCATTTTCTTGTTAGTTTATAAACTAGTTGTTACTTAAAAATACCCAATTTTCATCCAATCACCTCATGTGATTATGTCGAATTGAATCGTACAGTTTTCCCTACGTTTGTTTCAGCCAATCGCTGGCCATGTTACAATGCGAGGGCCTGACATTAATGCATGTCAAAATAGGTATTGGCAGCTATCGGTAGTCTCCTTTGCGCTATAAGCATGCGCTGTTTGACATTTTAGTACGAGCAGATAAAGACATGAAAGGAATTCAGCATTTGTCTCATTTCTATCGAGGCTTTATTCTGTAAAAGCGTAGTCACATGCCATTTGTTCGACTTCAGAACGAAAATCATTTATGCTTTGCCCAACGAATGAATGTGAACTTTCTTATTTTACATTATAAGTTGATGTTTGGATGATTTACGTGTTTGTCACCTCTTTTCGTTTATGCATCCAATTTGAATAAAAGTTGTAATAAAAGGCGTCTAATTTAGTTGTTTTGACATAGAATGCGCTTATTTCCTTTTCTTGGCACATGACATTGAAATCAACATTTCAAACAAGACCGTTGAATGTGTTTCAATGTTTATGTTTCACGAAATACCTATACATTATTGGTCGAGCTTGGACACTCTAGTCGTGATACCACATAAATATAGGTTTCAATACATAGAATGGTACTTGGGTGGATCAGCAAACGTTTAGTAAGACATCTTAGTGGTTTCTACAAAAACAAGTAACTTACGTATTAATTTCGAAACACATAGCTTACTTATTCTCTTGTATTGGGACAGAAGAAAAGAGCGTCCCATAAATTTATATTTAATGTTTCATAGTTAATCAGCAACCACTATCGAGGAAAATTTAGAATTACGCGACAATTATTAGCTTTATATAAATGCAAACCGATGCGAATATACCCAATCAACTTTAATATATCACTGCTTTTAATTGTAAAGGATGACTTTACTGCTCTTGAATTTAATAATGCTTGCAATAAAATGATCATTCGTTGATAAAAATGAGCCACGTCACGACAAACCCAACATAATGGGTTTGCGCCCAGCATGGATCCAGAGCAGTCTAATCAGGATCCATGCTGTTCGCTTACCAACTCTATAACAAGTAGAGAAACTGATAGCGAACAGCATGGATCCTGATCAGACTGGTCTGGATCCATGCTGGTCGCAAACCCATGATGTTAGTTTTGTCGTGACGCGGCTCAAATTAACATGTCTGTGGTTATTGTCTAAGCAATAGTTCATAAATTTTTATAGCGTAAAATGTAATATGCAGCATAATTGAGAGAAGAATTATTTTTTAAATCTCTGAACTTAACGCACAAGGATACGTCGAAGAACGTGTTTTTTTTATCAAACAACTATCAATCTAATTAAGATCAGCTCCTAAGTAAAGCTACATGCATGAAATAAATTAAGTAGATCTAAACTTAAGTCTGAGACAACTACTTGATGATCATAATCAAGGGCGGATTGATTTTTGAGGTTGTTCTCGATTAATATCTCCCTATATATTTCATTATCGCATGGTTTGGAAATTTTCCTTTGTTCTTACTAACCCATTATATTCAGTACACTTCAATGAGCATTTGAAATCTGTATTGATATATAGCAGTACAGTTTTTTAACGGCCTCGCCATTTTTTAGCAGAAACATCCCTTGTTGTCGCTAGTATTTTATTTCAGTATACTGTACGTCGGACCCACTGTTTTTGCCTCATTGATTACATTAAAGATATTTATAACATCTTTGGCTAAATTCCATTGCTTTCCACTGTTTTTATTAAGATTTTTTGCTAACATTAAACCGTAACACTAATTAAGTCAGACGAAGCTCGAAAATAGGTTACATTAGCTAATATTTGTTTATTACGTAGTCTTTCAATAAGCTCATCAACGTAAAATTAAACAAGTTTACTTAGTCTTATATAGTCTTATAAGACTCTCAATATGTAGAGCATTTCTTCCTAAGCAGCGAATGGCGTATTTTAGTTTGTTTCAGGGTGATACTAATATATAATCGTATTTTTTTCGAAACAGTATTTAATTTTCCGCTTCATCTAATTTACACTGCACCATATTTTGTAGGTGAATTGAAAGGAGATCTTGACAAGTATATTGAATCCCATTTTCCAAAAGGTCTTGTCAAAATGATACGAGTTCCCGAGCGGAGAGGACTAATTCAAGCACGACTAGCAGGGTACGATAATTCTACAGGCGATGTCATTATCTTCTTTGATAGTCATATGGAAGTAAACATAGATTGGTAAGTAAATTGTGTTACTTAGATACATTTTAATCTGAGTCCGTAAAATACACGTCCAATACCGTCAAATTCCGTGCATATTAATTATCAAAATAAACGTCTTCATAACCAGGAGCATCAGACGATCTTATCAATTAGGCGCTTTTAAAGTTGAAACCATGGTACGGAAGTTAACGGAAATAACCGAATATGTAAGCTTAGGGTCGCTGATAGGCAGATTACCTTATAAAAATAGACTGATTAGCTGAACAAACTGAAAACTGTCAGCGAAAAACCATCCGTCATATCATTTTGATGCAATACAATTGATTGAATGGTTTACAAACATTTAAAACAAAGCTATGTTGTTTATGGTTCATATCTGGAATCTTAAAAGTCTTTTAGGAGAGAAGTTAAAAATAAATATCATTCACAAAGCTGTGACTTTTCTTTCTAATATCTAAAATGATCAATCGTTAGTTTTCTTGCTTTGTTTCATTGAAAGAAATATTGCTCTTAATGTTATTTTAAGAAAAATAAAACTAGATCTATCATATAGCCTACACTTTGCAAAATGAAGAGCCATGATATAAAACGAGTATCTTATTCTATCTTCACTAAAAGTGTATCAACGTCTAACTGGGTTACATTAAGGGTCTCTGATAGCTCCTTTATCATATATGACCTACAATTGTTTATCACCAATTCATATACTGACGCATGGTTTGGTTAAATAAATATGTCACAATTTTTTTTTGCTTGCAGTTTGCAAATATTTTTTCCTTAACATAATTATTAAACACTTTTCCAAATTCAGAAAGGTGACAGACATGCAAATTGTCTTTACGTCTAAAATAAAACAAAATGATAATATTCGATGATATATTGATGATTCTCGGTTTCAACGCGCACGCGATATTTAAAACGCAAGAAATCAATTATTTAATCTTTGCGGTTAATGTGCATGTAACTATTGCATTTTAAATAGAACTTCAAAAACCACAATTTCACCAGCTATATTATAATCTCGAATAGATCAATCCACGTACAGGTTTCATGTTCAAGGATGAAGCAAAATCAGAGATTAACATATTTAGCGAGTGGTTTTCGTGGTACTGGCTGTTGTTAACCATTATGTTTTAATTCTACGCAATTTTATTGAATTGATATGAATATTACGGCGTTTGAAATAATGATCTCGCTCACAAGAACGCGTTAATGGCTCTTAAGGACATACAATAAGATAAAAACAAATCTTTTAGATAACGAATACTGGAACATTTTAAGGCCATGATTGTTTAAAAGTTAAAATTTAATTACACACACGGATATATGTAAATGGCGTTGTATTTTATGAGATATTCACTCGAGGTATTGTGAGACAAAGCTAGCGTTATATTAACAGAAACCCATAAATAGACATACAAGACGTGAGCACACGTTGAGTGTCATTTAGATATGTTAAATGTCAGTAACGTCTTGGTGTAATAGGAACAGTTACTAATCAACTGTCGATGTCTATCTTTGTTCACTAACATTCTGATTTCAAGCATTTAAAGATTAGAACAATGGCTGTATATTCGCCGAAAGCGCCATATGTTTAAGGGCTCATAAGATACAAAACTCCGTAACGACTCTGAAACATTTTATAGCTGTTGTAAAGTTAATTTATTTAAGCACATAGCGGAATATAAGTTTATTTTATTATTCACTCGTATTGTCAGAGACAAGCTGCGTTCTAACAGAAATAAATAGACATCACGGAGACGATAGCACACGTGAGAATGTTTTATATTTATGTCAGTAACGGCTGATGAATAAACATTAATTATGTCAGTTATTTTGCTTCATTAATTGATTCAACTTTCAAAATTACGGACCACATGGGCTTCTATGCAGCCGCAATAATGCACGTCACTATGACAGCCGATAGCTATCATTTCTATTTCTTGTGTAATGCAATGAATTTTTTAAGCACATTATAGACAAATAAAGTTAACTTAAATGTACACTTGTATATCTTTAAGGCCTAGCGGCTACGATTATGTATTGAAACAACCGATTATATAAGGTCATATTATAACCTGTCAAAAATCTTTATAACTAATAATGTAAACTTAAATTGGAGGACACTCAGCAGCCGACTAGGACAATTGTATTGCAATATAACGTATAAAAAACGCATCAAGCGATATATACATAAATTAAATTACGACAATAAGAATTTTTGTTTCTAAAACAATTTTGAACTATATTTTACACTTTGGACGGTTTTCCACAGTCTTCAAAACAAGAAATAGATGATTATATAATTACTACAACCTCCAAAAAGCATCAAACACATGTGTATAAGATATATATTTTGTTCTACAAGAAAAGTGCCGCAAATACGTATTTTAATCAAAACAGAATATGAGATTAAATATGCAGCTGAGTCATATCTAAAGTAATAACGTCCTTGTACGTTTTTAAACACAATTTCCATACAAATTATGTCTCATCAGTTTGATAAGGTATTTTACAAGGTTCACCCATCTGGTGTGATTTACAAAATGTAATACCTTAATACTTCTCTTTATTAAGCTTCCGTAAAATTGATACAGGATCAATCATTGTTAATTACTTAAGGTGTCAAAAGATGTTATTAAATGAGTTTCTAGTAATTAAGACATGTATATGAACATAAAAATATGCTGTATATCAACATGGTGATTAATCACAATGCCTGGTGTAATAAAAAGAATAGATAAGGAAACTCGGTCCCTCTACCCACTTGATGCCCATATGGGCGCCTTTGCTTTTGTATATTTTGAGGGCTTCGTTCAGCACATAACTATTAGATTTAACAGGAGTTTCAAAATCATATAGTAAACTTATATGGAAATAAGCTAATGATTTATATCGTCTATAATTATAATGCATTAACATATATGACTAAATTATAAACTAAACGACTGGAAAATTTTTATATCCGTACCATGCATGTTACATAATGTAATTATCACAAAAAAAATTTTTCAAGTTTTTGTATATTAATTATTTTAAGTCTAAAATAGACTGAATTATTACTCCCCAAAAAGCATCAACAACATTTTTATAAGAATATATTTGTCACGGGCGTAGTATATATATCAAAACGATATGAGTTAATTTCCCGAGTTCATTTTAAAATAATAGTTGAACTGATTTCAAATGATTTCATACACATTAGTACTTGTTTGATAAGGTTTAAATTTAAATTAAATCTGTTGCTTTTTGTATCTTCTGCTTTATTTTCTCGATTAAAATATCATTACTTATCAAATATTTTCTTAAAGGCTAGTAACAGACCTATGACATAATAATGTATAAAACTTGACATATTTTTGTATAACAGATGTACGCTCAGTCTGCACGAGCCTAATACGTGGCGGCTTTTTTCTCGCCTTTTGAGCTCGAGGCCAAAATTTGTACAATGTTAAAATTGTAAAATTTGTGAATGTTTTTTTATTTATATATGCCGTATTCATATAATAAAAAAAGCCTGGATTAATTCCCTGTCATGTTCTGCCGGTGAATTATCCATAATAAATTCAATTCGTATATTTATAATAACATACCGGTATATATTATAATTATATTTTGAAATTGTCAAAATTTGTCAAAAAATGCAGTTCAGCTTGGGGATTTCACATATTTGAGCTAGCTTTATTTACTACATGATATACGTTGTAAAAACGGAAGTTTTGTGTTTTAAGGCTTCAACCCTTACTTGTGGAGATAAAGAAGGACCGTACAACAATAGCCATGGGTAATCTAGATTATATTCAGCTAGATTCAATGGAATATAAATATTATCAGGATTATATGACTAGATATGGTTTTGACTGGAGACTTGTCTTCTTTGAGACGTTCTTCAGAAACGATCAAGTAGGAGCCAAAAATACCGACACTCGACCGTAAGTTACTTTTAACATATTTTATAATAATATATATTATGAAAACAAAACATAACTAGGAAAGGCAACGTTTTCGGAACGCAGCCTAAAACAATGAATAAATAATAATAAGAAATCATTTAGTACTGGTATCGTATTAGAAAATTTAGTGGTTATTCGAGTAAGATTTGAACCTGGCGATTCGTGGGATGAGAGGCAGAAATATATGCCACTAAGCCATCTCGACGACACGTAGTGTGTAAGGCCATTAAAGTATGATTCTCGTGACGTTTATTTAAGACTTTGTATATGTCAAGATAACTTCGTGGGAGGTCAAATCACTTTTGTCTTGTCCACATCGATGTTTCATAGATTTTAATGTGTTAACTTCCCGCCATTCATATCTAACATCTACTTCATAATAGCGGTGTTTAGTCCAAGAAAATGAATGCAATGATTAAAATTTATCAAATTTTTGAGTAAATTTCAAAGTTTTGGTCTTGTCTTTGAGTTGAAATCAACGGAACTTAAATTTTTGTTTCATATTTTGCCGAAATATCACCTTTTTGTCACCTTTCCACGTATTTGTCACTGTTTATAGGAGTGGTGAGTGACATAATTGGGATGGTAAATTCCGTGTCACCCTGATAAAGTTTAAACTTTAAGTACTGAACTGTCTATTGCTTCTGATGCCTTTCTCAAGTTGTACTGTTATATATATTCAGTATTCGTATTGAAGTCAAAATACCACTTGGTTTACATATTGCTTCTTTTATGACAAGTCAAATTACATTCAGCACTATTTTCTTCTGTTAATAAACATTTAACATGCTCACAAATCGTTATTTAAATGAAATGAAACTCAACCTTGCCCTTTTCTAAAGAAGTAAAAAATTAATTAGTTTTAGTTTTAGAGGCATTTTGTGCCTAAAATGGTCAGTATGAACTTAAACATCTTTTCGATATTGAAGATTTGTGTCGAATTACTAAAGTTACCTGTAAAGTTTTCAGATATTGACTTCCTTAGTTTACTCAACAGAAGTTTAATTGCTTTTTGTCTCAATAGTTTCACACTGTCTGATCTTATTCAATCACATTTCCTAGAAAATTTCCCGTTATATCACATAACACTGAATAATTTGCTTATGTCACACTGTATATACGATGGCTTTCCTTTCTTTACATATTTCCAAAGTGTGTCGCATTACATAAGATGTTTTCTTTGTCACTTTATGTTATTTTGTAATGACGCTTTCTTTTGTCATAAATTGCAAATATAACGTTTGCAAAAGTTCTATTTTATCTGTCTAATTAAACAAGACAAACGACCCTGATGCCGTATTAGTTTTGAGAAAAAAATATTTGTGTGACATAAAAGTTTTCTTGTCCTTTTCTATTGGCCTGTACAGTGACTGTAGTTAAGTATTGCTACAAGCCTAGTTATAGTATAAAGATAACTTAAATTTGTTTAGAACGAATAATAATATCTGTTTATTTTGCGGTACGCGAATCGGAAATTCCGTCCGAGGTGAACGGTAACGAGGCCTTGCCCGAGTTAACCGCCATGGGCAGGTTGACCGAGGGACGGATATTCCGATCCGACAAGAATTTTTTTTCTTGCATATTCTGCCATATTCCATTATATTTCATTCTTTAATTCTTTATTTTCAAGTGGAAAAATTTATATCATTAGCAACTGCAACTACTTTCATCAACAGCGTATGAATTCAAATCATTCATAACGGTAAAATGACGTCACCTTTATCGTGCCATTGTACAGCACGCGACTCATCTGGAACCCCCCATGCCAGATGAAATTTCCGGCATGGGTAAAACTAACGGAAACGCCAGTCTGATATGCAAGAATAATAATATCTGTCATTTTTTGCGGTTCGGATCGGACTATCCGTCCCGAGGTGACCCGCCCATTGGGCGGTAACGAGGCTTGCCGAGTTACCGCCCATGGGCGGGCGACCGAGGGACGGATATTCCGATCCGAACCGCAAACATATGTCAGATATTTTTTCTTGCATATTCTACCATTATACCATTATATTTTAAATTCTTTATCTTTATTTTCAATGAAAATTTATATCATTACAACCGTAACTACTTTCATTCAACAGCGTATGAATTACAAAATCATTCATAACGGTAAAATGACGTCATCTTTATCATGCCATTGTACAGCACGCGACTCATCTGGAACCCCCCATGCCAGATGAAATTTCCGGCATGGGTAAAACTAACGGAAACGCCAGTCTGATATGCAAGAAAATTTAATCTTGAACATATCGTAGACCATTGAAAAACCATTGAGCAACGAAGTCGAAGCATTAGCCAAGGTACATTTCACAAAATAATTGTAGTTATATCTTTAGATTTTGTTATATATGAAATAAACTTGCGATGATATCTTATCATTTAAATTTCAGAGGTACGGTAATGGTAGGAGCAGCTTATGCTATAGAGAGAAACTTCTTTGCAGAAATGGGGAAATATGACGAGGGAATGAAAGTGTGGGGAGGAGAAAATCTAGAAATGGCGTGGAGGGTAAAATAGCGTTCTGTTTGCTTATCCAACTGATCACGTTTAATATGATTTTTTTTATAAGAAAATGTCTGAATTTTAAATGAAAATCTTTTGTTTCAATCGTTGTTTTATCGAGCAAGAAATTTTACACCCATTGCTTAGTGTTGAACTGATACAAGAGTGAGTCAAGAAGCTAGTAGCTTCCAACACAATCGATCTAAAATGAATTTTATTTAAGTTAAATGTTTTATAAGGGTTATAACATTATAAGCACATGGAGCAAACCCTCATGACAGTTGATCTTTTCGCCTAATTCCTTTTTAAAATTTTTAATTGATTTCAAGTTATACAGTTCTCTCTAAGATTTTCACTAACTCGTTTTACCTTAAAGATTTGGTTGTGTGGAGGCAAGCTTGTCCACGTGCCATGTTCACACATTGGTCACGTGGCGCGTTCACAACCATACACATTTCCGGGCGGAAGAGAGGCCATAGAGCAGTATAATTATAAACGAGCAATAGAAGTTTGGATGGAGCAGGAACATAAAGACCTAGTCTATAATTACTTTCCACAAATGGCAGTAAGTATAACTGACCTGTTTAAATTATTCAAAGAAATGATAAGAATTTCTACTACCGTTTGGTTAAATAAAAATGGTAGATACTTAAATGTTTAATTTCACGAAACTCATCAATTATTGATATCAGCGAAATAAAGATCCTCGCGAAAATTCCCGATAATACAGTAACCTTTACATAATTATACTGAATTTGTACATATTGTTTGTCCTTGTTTTATGTCTAGATCAGTTCATTTATTATTCAATAACAAATACTTATCAGGCCTCATTGATGGGCAGACTTACATTGCTTGTAAAGTGGCGGTATATGCTATGTTGTTGTAGCTGTATTAAAGGGGTCTTCTCTTTGTATTCATCAAAACATTTTTCATCTTACAGGCAGTTGACGTCGGGGATCTATCTGAAAGACTTGAATTAAAGAAAAAACTCAAATGCAAACCATTTTCTTGGTTTATGGATAACGTTTGGCAAGAGCTATTTGTTCTTAGCAGGAATGTTACGGCCTGGGGATCAGTATGTAGATTTCATTTCCGCCTTTTTAGACCAATAATAACGCATGCGCAATCAAACTTGATGTCATTGATTCATATTTTGCACTTTTAACCATGTTCTATTAATCAAGCAAATATAAAAACAATATAAAGTGTAACTTGATCAGGCTTGAGCTGATCAGAAATTAAGGTACCGATTTATACAATACATGTACTTTAATGAGTCTTTAATTTATACTTGTTTGGTACGTTTTAACTTGTCACTGTTTCATGATAGAAGTCAAAAGCGTTGATTCTAATACTAAAGTACTCATATTTATTGTCAATGAAACTTGTCAGCAAGTGCATGCACAGACAGTCTGTATCTGTTAATAAACATTAATGTTACATAACAACTCGTTTTTTGCAGAAGATAAGATGTCGTCTGCTGCTATGAATGAGATTAAGTTATCGTCTGCTCGTTAAATAAATGAAAATATCAATTGTTTTGTACAAATAAATATAACAAAATATGTATTACTTATTCTCACTGAAATTTTTGAAAGATTTAGTTGTATATCATCATTTCCCTCATGTAAAGTTTTAATATAATCTTTATAGACGTTGTCTTGGTTATTGAAATAATTGTGAATGTAAACCATTATTTAATAACTTTCATAAATAGAATGTAAGGGCATCGTAACCTTCTCAATGACTTAGCTTTTTTTCAGGTAGATACAACTGGTTTGGACCAGCTTGTGCAATCGTTTGCTTACGTCTAGAAATGTCACTGATCTAAATTCATTTTGTCTCATTTCAGGCTAGAAATTTACACACCAACAAATGTTTAGATAATCATCAGTACCTCTTCCAAGCAGCCGAACCTCTCTTTGTTGAGCCTTGCCATTACATGTACGCTGCGCAGGTTAGTTTTTTGTCTTTTCATTAGATACCGCATCTTCTAAAGGTCATGTGGGATAAGTAGTCGGTGATTTGCAGATTGATTGGTTATTACTGGTTTGATATCCATGAAAGCCGGGTAGGAGGACCTACCGCCGAGATAAAACCAAAATGTGTTATTAAAGTCGGTGTAAAAACCAGACCTTAAAAAACCCCAAAAAACACGGAACCAGAAAAAACTGAGATGTTAGGCAAACCCAATTCACATTACAATGATACTGATCGTGTGTTTATTCTCAATAAGCTTCGGTCCAAAGTGCAAAGGTTACTTCACAGCAGATTAATACAGTGGCTATGTTTTTCATGTTTAACAACAGAACATCTATTTTAAAAGAATAATATGCACACAACTGTAAAAAAGTAATTTATTAAACTCAAGTGCATTACATGAATTAGATGTAATGCATATATACAAAAAAAGTTATATTAAATTTTAATGGTGTAAGTTTTAAATACAATTATACAATAATAAATTTCAATTAAGCAATAACTGATTGTTTTAATCAGTATTTAAGATTATTAAAATATTTTATGTTCCTTTTACAAAAAGATTCCACTTTCAACTTACTTTGCTAATGAAAAACCTTGTCATGATATTAATTAAAGCTTGATGAAAGGTTAACAAGATTTCCATTTTTCTTCAAAATATTTTTTACTTAATGATTTATACATGTATTAAGGACACATGAGAAAGTGTATAGAGATGCGTTGTTAACTTCTAAATAACATTACATACCTAATTAGTTTCCATTAAATACATGTAGCAATGATGAAAGAAGAACTGTAATTCAAATTGACAGTATATTGTTAAGATAAAAGGAATATAGTGAATAGATTTCTGTAGGTAATAACAGTTAATAGAAACGTATCTTTTCTCTGCTTGAACATTTTTTTAAAAAAAAAAGCAAAACAAAGAAAGAAATCACGTGATATTCTCTGTTTAAACTCGGATTCTCATTTGTGATCATACATTTGTACAATTATAGAACTAAAAATATTTTGCAAGATCACTTCAACTTAAACCACATAGACAGCATTTTAAGGTATTGCATAATTCAGCAATTATTGTCACAACTTCAATCACATGTTAATAGCATTGTTTGGTATTGCGTATTCAGCAATTTATGTTACCACTTCAATCACATGTAAATAACTTTGTTCAGCAATTCATGTCATCAATTCAGCCTCATGTAAACATAATTGTAATTAAGGTATTGGGTATTCGGCAATTTTTCTCACTAAGTCTACCACGTGTTAACAAAATTATAAAATATTACGTATTCAGCAATTTCAATCATATGTTAACAGAATTATAAGATCAATCCATCTCACGACTTCAATCGCATGTAAACAGCATAAGAAGTATTGCATATTTTGCAATCCATGTCATCATACTCCACAATGTCATGATAACCTTACATCTAAGTTGAAAAAGATCGCGAAGAGAAATATCAATTTGTTTCGTCTTACAATTTAATCACAACAAGTTCTGTGGTTTGAACAAGATATCTTCTCGAAAATTGTTTTCATCATGATATTTTGTTTACTCATATTTTGCAAAATTAAATTTCATATAAGGTAATATCTATATATAAATATTAATATCGGACATTGAAGAAATTGATTGGAAGTCAGACTTTGAGTTTTATTGTGATGGAACATGTGTGATGTACTTGCAAGTTAGAGAACCATAAAGTGGTAATTCTATATTAGAAATGAGCCGCGTCAAGACAAAACCAAAATAGTGTGTTTGCGACCAGCATGGATCCAGACCAGCCTGCGCATCAGCGCAGTCTGATCAGGATCCATTCTAATCTCTTACCAACCCTATTACAAGTAGAAAAACTGATAGCGAACAGCATGGGTCCTGATCAGACTGCGCATCAGCGCAGGCTGGTCTGGATCCTTACTGGTCGCAAACCCATTATGTTGGTTTTGTCGTGATAGTTAATTGAAATTGGGATTGTATATCAAAGAGTTCACAAAAAGTGAGATAAAACAAACTCTTATTTCCATCACAGTTGGTGAACAGATATGGCATTGTGTCATATAGGTAGACTAAAATAATTCATTATCATAAATCTAAATATATCACAGAAAATACACGAATATAAAACAAAAAGGTACGGTAATTTAATAAGGTATAGTAGACCTTCCCACACATACATTTAAACCGCGTCACGACAAAACCAACATAATGGGTTTGCGACCGGCATGGATCCAGACCAGCCTGCGCATCCGCGCAGTCTGATCAGGATCCATGCTGTTCTCTTACCAATTCTTTAACAAGTAGAGAAACTGATAGCGAACAGCATGGATCCTGATAAGACTGCGAGGATGCACAGGCTGGTCTAGATCCATGCTGGTCGCAAACCAATTATATTGGTTTTGTCGTGACGCGGCTCATGTATAAATGCAAAAACCCTATCAAATTCCTCAAGAAATGCAAAAGTTTATTTTTGGGTGCCAATATAGCGAGGTACATGTATATTGCAATTCGCACAGTGAGTACCAGGGTTTGATAATTGAGAATATGATATTTATACATGTATAACAAAAGTCCCTTGTAGTACTATTCGACATAGGTAGGAGCAGGATAATATAAACTAATGCATGACATTTTGAAATATGTTACTCGGTTTTCATTATAAGTCAGATTATTGTTTTCATCCTAGAAAATACTTTTCAGGGATTTTCTCTGACCAAAGACAAATTACTAAGAACATCACTGCAATGCGTTGTGTTAAAGGAGCAATTCGATGGAGCGAGACCAAAACTCGAAGATTGCATCATTGGACCACGTGATACATGGATACATCAACAAGTAACATATAATTTATTTATTTTTAAGGGTAGTTTAAGGTTTCCTTGACAACATTAACTATGTTCCAATTAAATGTAAAACAAATTGTCACAAAAGTCACGTAAATATTCGGAACATAAATAAATGAAGATTTTGTTAAATGTAATTGGGAAAAAATGCATTTTTTATCTTGTATTAAAACTTTTTTTCTTTAGAAATTTTTATTCCTTTTCAGATTTCGATTTCTGTACAGTATGAAATGAGTTCAAGAGTATATGCATTTACATCTTTTATCCGCCATCTTATTTTCAGGGAGGCTTTATAAAGCACGAGCACTCCAAACTATGCTTAGATTTAGACGACCAGGGCCCTGTTATGAAAACATGTGATCCTACCGCAATAACTCAAATTTGGCAATTTAACACTTACATTCCATAGGAATAATTTAATAAAGTTGTTATAGTGGTGCCATCGTTTTTTATACTACATTAACAAACAGTTTGTCATCTTCTGTGGTGACCAATGACCAACAATGTATTATAACTGCGTCCCAAAGTGTTCATAGGATATAAAGGTGTTTTATTTCAGTGTTCGTTTTAATTCATTTAAGCAAGATAAAGGTACGTTTAATCCTATAAACTACACACTGCTTTTTTATTATACATGTAGTAAACACACAAAACTTTTGACTGTAAATAGTCATCGCTTTTTCGTTAAAAATAAAAAATAAAAAAAAGGTCAAAAGCGCACACGAATAGTTTTCAGAAATATGAGAATAAGTTCCAGTAAAACCTATTCAAAATTTCACAAACGACTGCGACCTTATACACGATTTTTGTGCATGCAGATTTTAATCTTCCTTAAGAAGCAAATCATATATAACCAGTCAACAAGGGGCGACAACTCTTGTTGTAAATTGCCATTATTTTAGTATAATAGGCATGAGGCTGTATAAAGAATCGGGTTCTAAACCCATTATATTCAGACTATTCATCGGTGCTTTTACATTCCAAGCTATTTAAAGTATCATCATCATCATCATCATCATCATCATCATCCGAATCAAGATTATTGTTATAATCATTATTTTCATAACGATTTAACAATACAGATATTTTACATATCAACGTTTTAAAGGCGTTTTATTAGAAATGAATTCCTTTTCGAGAAAAATACATAATGTGATGGGGGTTTCTATTTTTTTTTCTCGAAAAACTTTTTATCTTGTAGATAGACGAAATTTACATGTAATCAATTCGACAATTTTTATTTCATTTATTCTTTTTCGTTCTTTTTTCAGAATATTAAAATACATATAAAGAGGTTTGTTTAAGTTCAATTAATTAAAATAGTAGATGTACCGTCATCTAATAAATAATAACCTCGAGAAAATCTTAATTTTCAGAAATAAATGTGATAATGCTGCAAAAGCTGTTTGTATTGTATTTATTGTTACTTACATGTTGCCAGAGAAGACAAAATAAATGTAAAACATTCTTTGTTGTTTCTGTGTTTTCTCTTATTTATCTTTTTGAAGAATGATTAAAGTCCTTGATTACTTCTTTTCTCAACTTTTTTCAATTTCTGTATGTCATAATGTGATCACATGATCAATTGAAGTGCAAGAGAAGAAAGGCCAGGCCCATCAGCAAAGGGAGCATTACTTATTTATACGTAGACTAAAAAGTTGATACAAAAACTTCGAGTTGGTAAGATTTTTGTAGCTCTTGTAGAACGAAAGCTTCCAGTTGGTAAGACTTTAGCTGCTGCAGATTAAATTGGAGCTAAACTATACAATATTGTCCAAAACAGGTTCAGAACAGCGAGTTCTGCTTGAAGTAAGAAGCAAGTCTTTCGGGTAGGACTTTATATACCGATATTTAGCTTATGGTGCTTTGCACTGTAAAAGATCCAGTATGTCCTATTTTGACTTCAAAAATGTGCTGCATGATATCATTAAGGGAAGCAATAAATTTTTTTGGAAAAGGAAAGAAAGGGGGAGTGGCGGGGTACGTTTCAACCAACACGGTAGACATCATATAAACGGGGAAAAGGGTTTTCTTTGTAGAGGGGAAAAATAGGTACCCCGGAGGAAAATTTTAAGGGCATTGAACCACCCAAAAGAACCACCGGAAAACCGCCTTTAGCTTTGATGGATTTTAAAAAATTTTTTTCCATAAAATAATCAAATTTAAACCAAATTTACATGGGGGGGTCGAAACCCCAAAAGGGTTTGGGCCCAAAAGGTTTAAAGTCAAACGACCTTAACCACTAGAAATATCCCCGGGGAAAAATACAGAAAAAAATTTCAATTTTAAAAAACAAACCCCCAGAAAACAAAAAACAATAAGGCCCAAATTTTAAATTTGAAGAAAAAAAAACCGGGGTTAAATAAAAACAAATTTTTAATATCAATACAAATATATTAAGTACATAAACCATGCATGCATTTACTTTGTTACGAAAAAAAAAATACATGAACTTCTGAAAAAAAACTTATGATGTTTAATTGACGTCATGTATGATTAAACCACATATCTATTTATGCTTTTAAAGAAAAGAAAACAAAGACGACATCAAAACCTCACATGATGTGAAATCTAATGAAATGATTGTCATCTGATATATTAATGAAACATCACAAGTATAGAATTAGTAAGGCTCAGCAGGTTTCGTGAAAATATAGATAATGTGTTATTGTATTTTGTATCAGCATTAAAACAAACTATCTTACAAAATTGAAATCTCTTTTTGTGCATTTATAACATAAAAAGAGGATATATGTCTAAATATATATCACACTAATAAATCCATGTAATTTACACTAGGACAAAAAAAAAGAATACTGTGATAGATAATTACAAAAGAAAATCTTTCATTTTAACCTCAACTAAATATGTTTTCCCCAATTTTTTTCAAAAATTTTTCTATAAAATTTTCCCTTTATTAAAAATTTTAATTAAGTAAATTTAAAAATTTAAATAACAAAGACAAAATCGTATATAAATATTAAAAAAATCACCGGGGGATTCAGTTTAAGGGACATTATGCTCGTGCTTTGAGATGAATTTACTTCATATCTCAAAAGTGTGACTATTATAAAGGTGAATGACCAAAAGTTGATAATTAAAACTATTAAAATATTAAGCCTAAAATATAATTATGCCTAAAATATAAAAAGACTGTCCCACCCTTTTTATAAATTGAATGTTACAGGCAAATTCCGATGGATGGACATTCCCTTGGAACATATGTGTTATTTATCGTTCATGCGAAGTGCATTAGAAATTGAAAGGGACTTTTGCAAATTGAAAACTTATTTGAGCCGCGTCATGACAAAACCAACATAATGGGTTTGCGACCAGCATGGATCCAGACCAGCCTGCGCATCCGCGCAGTTTGATCAGGATCCTTGCTGTTCGCTTATAAACCCTGTTACAAGTACAGAAACTGATAGCGAACAGCATGGATCCTGATCAGACTGCGCGGATGCGCATGCTGGTCTGGATCCATGCTGGTCGCAAACCCACTATGTCGGTTTTGCCATGACACGGCTCAATTATTATTTATGATGTTTATGCATTTGAGCTCTGGCGGCCCCCTCCAACCTCCCAAACCCCAGTATATATGCATTGTTTTGTTAAATATGTGACCAAGTACAATGAACAGTTGAACACAATCATTAAGGAAATAGTTTATAATACAAAAAATACAAAATTTATACAAATGCCACAGGCAATGGAATTTTTCATCTACATCCATAGCAGTAGTATACCAATTGAGCTTGTCTAGAACACTCCCCTATTTTTTCAATTTTTTTTTTGGTGGAGTAATATATCTTATACCTTATTAATTATTTAGCATTCCTAAAGCATTTCTTAAGCATTACTATAGCATTACTAAAGCATTTATACAATGAGGGTATAACGAGAAGATTTTTTTTTCTACCCTGAAATAGTTTTCATTCCGTTATCCCATTTTTTTTTTTTTTTTTTTTTTTTTTGGTTTACTTTAGTATTTTTAGCATTTTTACACTTTTCCTTTTTGGGGGGTATTCCGGATTAAAAAAAAAAATAGGGGAGTGTTCTAGACAAGCTCAATTGGTATACTAACTACTCATAGCTAATACAACGTTGACCAGAATTTGGCAAACTGGGAATGCTGCATAAAATAATAAATCAAACCTGGTGACAAACAATTACATGGTTGCATCAGTTACACCTTATTGAATTTCTAAATATTGCGTGATCATTGTGACAGTTCTCAAAATATCTTCAAGATCTTCACTTAGTATGAAATTTCTATTCCAAAAAAAGAAAAAAGAAAAAAAAAAGATTTTTTCATAATAAAACAAAAAACTATTTTGATTAACTCTCATTCACTGGAATATGAAAAACATTTAATCTTAATCTCTCCACGCGTTCTTCAAGTTTCGGAAAAAATATGGATGCTATTTTTAGCAACTCTAATCGACACTCTTTGAACCAAACTTGGTATATCAAGGCATCGATAAAAGAACTGCAAAACACCATTGCTTCATTGATAATTAACAAATTATAAAAATAATTCACAAACATAACTGAGATTATATAAAAAGCAAACCCCAAAATACAATTTAAAATATTTGCTAAAGTTGCGAATGTTGTCTTGTATAAACTAAGTCGATGTCGCATATATTCACCCCTTGTGTGTTTAACCACAGATCGGACGATGATGACAAAAGAAACTATAGCTATCAATACACTAGGACCTAAAATCGGCACAATATACGGATGTGATCTATTCAAAATGCAATAATATTGTCTTCCAATGCCAACAGTCATGTCAGAAAGATTACATGTAAGTATTATCGGTACTGCAAATACACAAAACACTGTAACACAAATAATAACTGAAACAATTTTGATTTTGGATGACTTAGCAAAACGACCGTAGATCAAAGGATATTGTAGCACCATTACCCTATCGATGGCAAGCATTGCGATAATTGTATATCGAGTCATACTTGAGGCAGCAGAGAACACAGTCACGAGAATCAACCATTCTCCATTTACTAAGAATGTTATACGTCTGACCACAATTAATATTATTGTCAATTGGTAACACCAAATCAGAGACATTGATAAGAATTTTGCCATTCTAGGAATAGTCTTAGTCTTTCCTAAAGCTCGAAGCAATATCAATCCTGTCAGAAGGTATAGTAAAGAAACGGTAATAACAATGATTGGTGTCAGATATGAATCCGACTGTTTGAATATAATGCTCTCATAAGTCTCATTTTTAGCTTTAGATTCTAAAAACCTTTTATCCATACTTTGTTGTCGTAGATTTCTTGTTCTTTCTAGTTCAAATAGTATCTGAAAATGAAAGATCATACAATTGCAAAATCTGCGTATAATTGAACACGATACCAACATAACAAGTATTATTACCCTTAAAGCTTCATCATCCAGATGCGCAAAAATATATTTCAAACTTGAGAAATTTGAAAAATGTGTAAAAGTGTAAAAGACCCCAAAGTGCGTTACGTACTTTGGGGTCCGACCCCAGAGTGCGTTACGTACTTTTGGGTCCAATTTTGACCCCAAAGTTCGTTAAACAGGTACATATGCATTTTTTTTAAATCAGACAAGCGACCGCATTTTGGGGTCATAAAAATTCAATCAATAAAATGAATTATCATGATGTTTCAAATAATATATTGCAGTCAAAGCCAACGGTAAACAAATATCAAGGTATTGAATAGAGGCAAAACATGTGTCCTGAATTATGTAGAATCAATAGGGATTTTAAAAGAGTGAAGAACTTTCATCAAATAACGAATGTGTATCAATTAATAAGTTCAAAATATATTGTTGTCACATTTTTCATTTATTTCAAAAGAATGTACACCTTTCATTAACTCCATTGTTTTAAGCTAATTGCATCATTTTCCCGTTTATTTCTATTTATACATTTTATAGAAATATAATAGTCTTAGCATAGACAAAGGTATAAATTCTGGGAAATCTTAATAAGACATTTCAGTAAAAACTGTGCCTGATTATATTTTGAAATGTCCATTTATTTATCTTTTCTAAATGTGACATTTAAGAGACTTAACTATGTGTAGATCCGGCCTTAAGTAGTAGTCTGTACAGGCAGTACACAAAAATATCATAAATTATTTAAGTAGTCACACATTCATAATCAAAGGGCTGTAAGCTCTGTGGTATTTTCTGATCTTTGCAACTAAATCGTACTGTATATCTGTATGCATTTTCCTGTATAAGTTTATTTTTATATACTATAATTCATCTTTCAAAACACCGAGATGCCTTAAAAAAAGACATTTAAAAAATAAAATAGTTGTCTCGACTGGGATTTGAACCCCAGACCACTCGCAACTTGGACGAGCACGTTACCCTTTCACCACGGGGAAGTTATACGAAGAAAACTGAATATATAGAATTTTAGGGTTGCAATCCTTATTAATTTCGAGGTATTTTGTTCCCGA